TCTCTTCTCCACGTCACCTCAGGCGTGATGACGTCAGCGGGCATGGTCATGGCGTGCTACCAATGGTAGCCGTCCTAGATACGGCAGGATTAGGTTGATAATCGGTTACCAGCCCGGGACCGCCCGGGGTGCCTCGGAAATGCGCAGCGGAGATAGACGCCGTCCGTTCATTGGTGGTTCAACGAGTCAGTTAGTGGTGGCTTGGGCACATGGTGCCCTCGCCAACAAGTTGCACACACCGGGCCCTGAATGACGAGATGTTAGAAACGACAAAGATGTTGCCCTAGACGCTCAAAAGAGTGACGAAGATAAGACACTAGTAATAGCGGTAGTACTCGGGAAAAAACCTGGAGAATGGAGGTATATAGGTTGATGTTTCGGCAAAATGCATTTATCGAAACAAAAGATGAAATGAACTTGAAATCGACTGCCGACAATCCTACTCGGTTTTTTAGTTTCTTTTTTAACCACCAAGCCACACTTTTTACAGAACACCGACATTCAGGGGATTAAACAAAGAGCCATTACCAAAATGCAGTGCCTATCTAAGAATTAGAATACGCGACCACACATGTACATGCAAACGAATTCAAGCAAATAGGCATCACGCATCGCGCTTTATTCAAACATGCAAGCAAGTTAAAGTAAGCAGGCATCACACATTGCGCATCAATTATGCATGCAAGAGATTTCAACTGAACAGCATTGACAAAGGGTTGAAATCGTCGGAAGTCCCAGGGGGGTCGAGTCTCTAGACCACGGTAGTCGGAACATCCCGCTGGCCAGTGAACGGGTTATACTGGGTGCTCGCTGTCTGCCGAGAGTCTCCAGCACCCCCCAGAGTATGTTGTCTACCTCAAGACTTCCGGATAGACACACCGTGGGGCGGTGCTTCACGAAGCCCACCGGCAAGGATGGGAGGCGAGGGTGCAATAGCAGCGGATGAGGCACCCTGCGATGGTCGGGCTGGGCAGGTCTCTGTCGATGTCTGTCTAGGAAAAAACGCGAACAAGTTTCTCCCGAGAGTGGGGAACGCCTGATATGCGAGACGGCTGATTTGTGGCAGCCAAGAAGCGAGCCGCGTCTGGTGCGCCTGCGGCAGTTATTTTATAGCCGGCGCGGATGAAGGTGGAAATGATCCGCCATTTTTTCTGCCGACAGCACTGCTCCACGGCACGCATCAAGATAGAGGTTATGGACGCTAGCAGAAATACCAGGAGAACAAAATCTGGTTGCCTTAAGGTGTGCGTTCTTCAGCGAGTTGTTCAGTAAAAATACCGTGCTATGTGATCACGTACTTACTATGTCAACGTGCATCAGACTGAGCGCGGAAAAGCGAGCATTGCAAAAATTCTCTCCAAACATCTGCATCTGTATTTCTATTCGTTACATCACGTCAAACTACCTACAATAAGCTGGAAAAATGACATGAGAAGTGTTCCAAGGATGCATTGATTTTTCGCATGACTTTTACTTTGCCCGGTGATTTATGTTACGGTGTTTGTGTATTACAGGGTATTACTGCGCCGGGATTTTGTGCGTAGATCAGGGTTCGGTTGACAGCCGAACGCCACACGTGAAGGACACGATCGTTCGAGTCAGAAACAATTTTATTTCTCGTGTGTTTTGTGCGTGACATTTCGATCTTATGGCCTCAGTTTTTGTATGCATAGCTGCATTTGCATGCAGCTGTGACGCTTGCCCTGAAAAAATGTGTTCGCGGAGGACATAAAAATGCATTATGATGATTATGATTATACCTTATAGCCCAATCGGGAAACTACTTCGGTTGCTGTGTACCTGCCTCTGTGCAAAAAATCGTTTCACTTCACGTTAGCCGTGGTTACATGTCTAGTGTTTGGAGATGCACAAAAACCGCATGGACACGGATGTCTCGTTAGAAGAGGCAAAAGATAACCGCTCTTGTTATCTACATTGGTCGGCCTATGAACTCTCGTCGCGGGTGCTTCTCTTCCATTGACAATTGGACACATCTTAATCTGGGCAGGTTGACCTTTGCCCTAGCGGCGTACACCAGCGACCATGTCGCGACTTTCTGCGCGCCGTTGCTAACGGAGGAACGCGCAGCGAGGGGTGATGGCACACACAGGTGTGGTGTTTCGCGGCAAACCACCAAGGCGCCAACGCCTCCATGCCTCAGCTTGTTTCCAAAATCGGCGTGCCAGGTGATCAGGGAAAACTGCGGCAGCGGCGTTGATGAGTTGGTTAGGGTAGCCACAATACCTGGCAGCTGGCCCGGTGAGAGGCTGCCCAAACCTGCCGGGGTTTGAAGTCCGACTTCAGGCCGTGCCAATATAAAGCAATTACATAAATAAATGATATGAAGAAATGATAGAAAAATTACATGAAAGCGATATAAAGAAATGGCATAAAAGGATATAAAAGTGATATAAAGAAACTAATACTATGAGCGGGGCGTACGTCAGGCATTTGGTGGTTCTCCGGTTGGACGCTGGCCGGGCTACGGCCCCCTCCAAGAAAGCCAAAGTCGAGCCAAAAATGGCGCATTTGTTGACTTCAAATACCATTTACGACTCGAAACTAAAATCTGATGTGCTTTCGGAAATCAGGAAAAGTTTTCTGCACTTTGATCGCACCCAAGCCGGTGTTGTCCCCCCTGCCCCCCCTGATTTGATTTTAGATGCTTTAGATTTATTGATTGATTTGATTTTAGATGCTTTACCCTAACCAGACCATTTCATCCATATGTGTAGGCTTACTCATTATTTCACTGTCAAGTCCCAGTTATTCGTTGCTGATGACGTATACTTCATCGAAAATGTTTCCTGGTTAAAAAATGATAAAGAGAGTAAAGAACATCTGGTCATTAACTGCAAAGCAATAGGGGTAGTGAAAAGTGTTTCTCTGGAAGATATGTAGAAGCGGTGGCAATGAGGATTATATTATCATGGTTACGACTCTAGTAATAACCTTATTCCTTGGAGCAGAACCGAGAGAATGAAGATATAAATGCGTTGATATTTCGGCAACGTGCCTTAGTGGAAACAACAGCAGAAGTGAATTCAAAATTGTACGCCGATGATACTGGTCAATTTTTTCAGGCTCTTTTTTTAACAGCGAGGCACAGTTTTCACAGTGCACCAACTTTCAGGGGATTAAACACGGAGCAGATGCCAGCTATTTCTGCGATACAGCGCTTATCTAACTAAGAATTAGAATATGCGAAAATACGTGCACATGTAACCGAATTCAATGAAACAGACATCACGCATCACGCTTTATTCAAACATGCAGGCGAGCTGAAGTAAACAGGCATCACGCGTCGCTCATCGATTATACACGCAAGCGATTTTGATTAAACAGGCATCGCGCATCACGCATCACACATCACTTGCACGTGTAAACGATTTTAAGCTAGCACACATCACACATCAGGGCACATATCATGTTCACAGAATTAGCCATGATGAGCGCTGTACATTAAGGTTTGATCGTCGACTTTTCGTACGAACAGATTCATTTCGTTCTTGTTTGGGTGATCCTGTGCTCCTGTAGCATGGACTCTTAAAGGGGTAAAGGATCAGTACCTTCCTGGATTTCAGCCTGAGCGTGTCTTGTCAAAAAGTGGTTACTAAAAGGGATATTCCCTGTTTTGTTTTTAGTGTGTAGCAGGTGTTCGTTATATCTCATTGAGATATGATTCACCTCAGGCGTTCGCAAGTGTTTATTATATCTCAATGAGATATAGCGAATACCTAATAGACGCTAGAACAGAACGGGAAATACCCCTTTCGGTGGCCACTTTTTGGCAACACACGTTGAGGTTTAAATCCGGGAAGGTATGAGCCCGATGATAATTTTAAAGCTCAAATTCGTCTTCAGAGCACAGGATCACCCAGACAGGAAAATAAGTGAATCTGTTCTTATGTAAAGTCAGCGACCAAGCATTAACGCACAGCACTCATCATGGCCGATCAGGCAAACGTGGCATGTGCAATGATGTGTGATGTGTGCTTAAAATCGTTTACATGTGTAAGTGATGCCTGACGCGTGGTGTGCGATGCCTGTTTAGTTGCAAGTCGCTTGCATGTTTAATCAATGCGTGACGTGTGATACCTGTTTTCTTCAACTCGCCTGCATGTTTTAATGAATCGTGTCGCGTGATGCCTGTTTAATTGAATTCGTTTGTATGTGCCCGTATTTTCGCGTATTCTAGTGCTAAGATATGTACTGTATCGTAGTAGTAGCTGGCATCTGCTCCTCGTTTAATCCTCTGAAAGTTGGTGCACTGTAAAAACTGTGGCTCACTGTTAAAAAAAACAAACTAAAAAATCGAGTAGGATCATCGGCGCAAATTTAGAATTTACTTCTGCTATTGTTCCAATAAAGGCATGTTGCCGAAATATCAGCGCATTTAAATCTTCATTCTCCTGTTTTTTTCCGAGGAATAAAGTTATTGCTACTGTCTTATCTTTGTGAATAATACTCCTCGCAAATGCGCTTAACAACTTACCTAATTATCATACTCTAGTCACACGAGCAAGTCTTTGTAGGGTGACAGTAATCAGGCACGCGGCACGCACGATTTTTGATAATAAATGTACATTATGAGTCAGATGTGTATGAAAAGTGCGAAAGCACCTTCTCTTCATATCTGATCTCTCTATTGGAAGGCTTTGATCTGTCACAGTTGAGTCAGGCGGCTCTGCTGCTCCCAACTGCCCTTGCCATGATCTTTAACGTATCGTCTGCACGATTCCATAGCTTGACGGTCGGCAGATTTGTTTGTAGTCGTAGCATAGGCGGGTGGATGTTTTGCACCACGGTCAGGCGTCTAGCTGTTAGCTGTGTCACTGTAGCCTGGTACCCAGTATCTGTTCACTGCTTACGAGCGTTGGCGATCAAATAATGAGATAAAAATAGACGTGCCTCGCCTTGTTTTCCGACATGGTTTCAAGTGCCAACAAACGTGTATCTCCTGCTTCTCTCCTCCACGCACAGTTCCGAGAAAAAAGGTCAAAATCGACACGCCGTGCATGTCACCAGTAGTAAACTGCCTGGGCCAGTCACAACTGTATTAACGGGCGGACGCGCCGCTAGAGGCCGCCAGTATCAAGACACGTCACTCGAAGTTAGGACCATCACATAAACGCCTTCCATGCGTCATCACACTCCTGCTCTCCCATTTCCCCAAAAAACGAATATGCAATAGCTGCGATTGCGACACCATTCGATTTCTGTCCATGCACACTTATGACGTCATCCTTGATCTGTGCTTCAGTCGTCCATCTGCTGAACGGGAACACACCTATGCTCCTCTTTTAGCCATCGCGCGGCGACGACGTCAAACGCTGCCGCGGCTGGTTGATGGCTGCGCTCAACCCCTTTCTCCTCTCCTTCTCATCCCTCCCCTTCTCTCCGTCTCTGTCTCTCTCTCTCCTTCCAGCCTTGCTGCGGTAGTCCATGGTCGCGCTGGAGGCCGCGGCGGCCGCCTATATCCTCTGGTAGGTTCGCACGCCGACGATGTCGCCAACTCTCATGGTGTGCACCATCTGCGTGTCGGTGAATTCCCGGGTGCCGATCACCGTCACGCCGGCGTCGTCCGTATGCTTATCGAGGAGTTTATGGTCGTTCTCCTTCGTCACGACGCCGGTCACGACTTTGCCATCCACTCGGGTGAGCTTGTGCGGCACGCCCAGGTCAAACTCATGCACTTTTGTTTTGATGGAGGTCTTCGTTGTTATGGTCCAGTGGTCGCCGTTGATGGCAACGGTGATGGTCGGCTTGATGGACTGGATCATCTTTCGCATTACAAAGCTCATGCCCAAGGCCACAAAGACGGCGTCGTCGTTCTCTGTCGACACCAGCTGGAATGAGCCTTCGCAGTTGACCATGGTACCGGTTTGATCGAGCTCAGTGGCTACACCGGTCCGGCTGTGGCGAACAAGGCCCGACACCGACTGCGCGTGATCGGTCGCCCCGCTACCGTCGTCACGTTCGTTATCGTCTTCCTGTGTGCTCGTTGGCCTGGGCACTCCAAGGCCAAAGACGTTAGAAACATCCGACATCCAATGCTGAGAGCATTGGGAAGTGTGCCAAGGAGAAATTCCACCGCTGTGTTATCGCTCAACCAATACTTTTGAAATTTGACCCCTTACCTGCGGAGCATCACAGCATCCCTGGTCATATTTGCAATATCTTTGATAATATCTACGATATCCCCGACGCAGTTTTCAATATCCCTGCCCAGATCGGCGATATCCCTGATCAGATCTGTGATTTTCCTGATCAGGCCTGCGATGTTTCTCATCAGACCTGCGATATATCTGATCAGGCCTGTGATATATCTGTTCAGACCTGCGATATATCTAATCAGATCGGCGACATATCTGATTAAATCTGTGATATCCCTGCTCAAATCTTTAATATCCCCTATCAGATCTGTAATATTCCTGATTAGATCTGTAACACTTCTGATAAGATCTGCGACATACCTGATCAGATCCGTAATATTTGTGATCAAGTCGGCAACATCCCTGATCAAGTCTGCGACATCCCTGAACGGGCCCCTTCAGCTCTGGTCGGCAGTACTTTGAACTGGGCGTGTATCAGCTTTATTGTTGCCCATCTCTACATGAAGCCGTTTGCGACGCACTTATGACATATCTGTACATGGCGTTTTGACGAAATGGGCACATCCAGTCACATATAAGGGGTGTAAGATGTAATCTGAGTGTTGCTTGCATTGTCGCTTTGACCTATCAGGTAATAGAGCAGCGTTCAGTGGTGGGAGAAAGGGAAGATTTAAGAGGTGTTGTGCATCAGAAGCGGTTTAATCCTGCAGCCCGAACATGAATGAGAAAAAGCGAAAACAAAAACAGTACTACGCCAAACAGGCCAAAAGAGCGAAGTTCGAAAAGAGGAAACTTCATCCAGGATTGCGGGGTTTCCTTTGCACGACAAACAATAAAGAAAGGGAGTGTGTTCGGGAAGCATATAATTTGCTAAATGAGTATGCCAATGAAATGTTTGGTGCTGAACAGGAACTTCAGGTGAGTTGTTGCCAATCATGGTGACTGCCATTTATGGTCATTGCCAGGATGGATGGATTCAGAGTTGCAGATGCTGGACACAACTGTTGGAAGGAAAATATTTCATTAATATTCTTACTGCCATGAAGGTGGGTTCCTAGGATGCTGGTTATAACTGCAGAACCCTGTATAGATGTTAAGTGTGTCTGATACATTCCAGGACTATGTTTGGTTATGTTTCTCTGTATGTCACGAACTGTTTACTTTGTGTGTAGCCAACACAGCCATCTAGGCTGTAGTCAAGGCTACTCGTCCAGCATGCAATAAGCTGGGGTATGTTTATCAATGATATCATATGCCAGCAGTGACAAGCAACCAGTGTGAAGATGGTGGCATGTTGTACCCTTTCTTCAGCATCTTTGGATACCAACATAGTCCTTTTGCTCATCCATGGCCCTATGAAGCATTTCTGCTAGGGCTTGTCTAACTGGCACTTGTTGCATGGGCAAAGATTCTCTGGGTGTCGATCATTCAGCCAGCTATCATCCATTATAAAGCTGGGTGTTATATGGCACTAGTTAATGTGTGAAATAATATTGAGTATGTTTGATCCATGAATATGAATCTAAGCTTCATGCAATAACAGGTCATATTAGAACCTCCTTTTGAAGCTCTTCAAGCCTGTGGAAGGGGGTAATGCGCCTGATACAATAAAATGATTGCTGGTCGTCCAATCTGAGCCCGGCACAGAAGCCACCCAGAGACATGAACAGGATACACAGGCTGTCATGATCATGTTCTTTATTTTTCTGATGTCAGGAGTCAGCTGATGCTGGTGGAGAGGTGGAAGCTGACCTTGAGGCTGAGCTGGCTGCACTCAAGAGCAAAAGTACTCCCAAAGAAAGGAGATTCCAGCAGGTTGAAAGTGGTGCCAAAAACTGCATATTCATCAGTACTCAGGTAGAGCTGCTGGAACATTTTTCTCCTCCATCAATGCATTACTTAAGCATTATTGCGTTAGTGTTGCAGCTTGTTTGAATGCATGGAGGGTCATTATAGCTTGTAAACTTTGCATACAATCTTTAGTTCTGGTTTTAATTATTGAAATATCCTAATTGACTATGCAAGACAAGTGCCTTAAGTTACCTGTGTGCATTCTGATTGATGCAGTTACAATACTCATTGCTCTTAGTTAACATCTGCACCTGTGACATTGTGTACCAAGCCAGTTGAGAGTTCATCACCTCATGCTGGGTATTTAAATTACTTTGTAGTTACTTTAGCCTACTGATGATGAGCTTAGTGCTTCATTGTGTGATCCAAATCACCAAAAGGCCAGGAGAATACTAGGAAAACAAAAGGCATAGGATTTTGGTGAAATATCCTTGATTTTATAAAACTTTGATTTCACTGTTGTCTGGGTCACCTACTCAGTGACCTTTGAAATTCTCAGCAGTCCAGAACTGGTGCCATGGTCCTGGGCCTGGCTGCTGCACTGTGACAGTATACCTTGCCCTGGCCCCCCACCCAGCAAAATCACCTTGGCACTGTCACCCCCTGAAACCCCAAACCACCTGACATATACCCAGTGACCTGATCCATGCATGGTGCCATGACCTTTCCACAGTAACCTTAACTGTGACCTGGTCCCTGGCTCCCACACTGCAACCTTACCCCTGCCCCATGACCTCACCCTCACCCCATGACCTCACACTCATGCCATGACCCCACCCACACCCCATGACCTCACCCACATGCCATGACCTCATGCACACCCCATGACCTTACCCACACCCCAAGACCTCACCCACATGCCATGACCTCGCCCACACCCCATGACCTCACCCACACCCCAAGACCTCACCCACATGATGTGACATCACCCACACCACACAACCTCACCCACACCCTATGACCTCATGTTCATCCCATGACCTTGCCACACTCCATGACCTCACCCAAACCCCATGACCTCACCCGCACCCATGGCCTCCCCCATGCACCGAGACCTAGCCCTGGCGCCGTGCCGTGCAGCTGGAGCAGACGGCGCCGCTGGTGGAGCGCATCGCCCGCGACATCCGCCGCACGGGCGTGCAGCGCACCCGCTACCTCCTGCGCCTGCTGCCCGTCCAGGTCACGTGCAAGGTCAGGCGCGCGCCGGGCTCCGGGAGGCGGGCCGGCTTGAGCGGCGGCTGGGTGGGGTGGGCGGGGCGGCCTGCGTGCTGGAGGGCCGGGCTGGCGGGGTCAGAGGTGCTGTCGGGGAGGCGGTGGGCTTCCGGTCGAGGACGCCGGGCTCCGTCCGGTCCGCAGAACGGTGTCGTTGGCGGAGGTGCAGTGACTGTAAGGCACGCGGGCGATCCTACCACACGGGCGCGTGGCGAAGAAGCCGGCAGTGAACGTAACCCATTGTTTACTGAGACGAGCGTATCAAAGTGCCGCGGTGCCGTTGGCGGCTCGCGGCGACTCTGAACCAACTGACCAGGCAGCTGCGGCACCCGAAAACACAGCACGTCCTCGCAGCTCATATGGGAAGGCACCACGGCCGCTGTCTGCTATTCTGACTCAACCACCAGGCGCCAGTAGTACCGGCGTTGGCTCGCGGCCGGATAGGTTCGGCGAGGAAGACTTTTTCGTCTCACGCCGCACCTTGCTGGCCGGCTTTCGGAGGGGGGGGGGGGGCACAGGGGGCTTTGGTCACATGAAGGATCCACTTGTCGCGCGAGGGGGGGGGGGGGTCGGTCGGTACGCGCGGCTCCGCTCCGTGCTGTCGGAGTTTGCGGTCAGCACGGTGCGTCGACCCGCTGAGCCCGTTAACCCGCGGTCGTACTGCGACTTCCGCTGCGGGCGCGGCGTTTTGGATTCTCGCGGTGTTAAAACGATGTCATTTCGGGGGGGGCACAGGGGGCTTTGGTCACATGAAGGATCCACTTGTCGCGCGAGGGGGGGGGGGGGGTCGGTCGGTACGCGCGGCTCCGCTCCGTGCTGTCGGAGTTTGCGGTCAGCACGGTGCGTCGACCCGCTGAGCCCGTTAACCCGCGGTCGGTACTGCGACTTCCGCTGCGGGCGCGGCGTTTTGGATTCTCGCGGTGTTAAAACGATGTCACCGCGACCGCGATGTCAGCCGTCAGCGATGTCACATTAAAACGATGTCAGCGATGTCAGCCGTCAGCGGTAGACATCACCAGTTGTGGATCCGTGTAATGTTTCATCATCATGTAATGTTTTTCATCATCATTTCACATCGTGTAATGTTTCAAGCGTCCAGTTTGAGGTCGGGGTGTGAGTGGTGAAGCGGCGACTGCGGCGTGCGGCTCCATGGAGTTGACGTGGAGAGCGGTGCATCTGAATGTTCCGGCGCATGACGGATGACTTGGTTATGAAGCACTGCTGTGCTCACGGCCGGCGATCTACAGGGAAACGTCCATTCTTCAGCGGCAGCGTTCTGGGAAATGAAAGCAGTGCACCTGGCGTTTCGCATGCTTCTCGCGAGACAGACACCAGGCGATCATGTCCCGCATTTCAGTGACCATTCGATCCGTGATGACCGTTGGCTTTCTGCGTGCTGCTTGCTGGTGACAGTCGGGCACGGAGCGCAGGGAGACCCTGATCTTGTGATCTGCGATGGCTGTCGGCGCCGTCCGTCGGTTGCCCGCCGCACCTGGCGCGCTGTTTTGCTCGGAGGTGCTTTCTGCGCGCGCCTGACGTGCTGTTTGGACGGAGGTGCTGTAACAGCCCGCCTGACGTGCTGTTTGTGCGGAGGTACTATTTGCACGCGCTTGACTTGCTGTTTGGGCGGAGGTGCTGTTTGCGCGCGCCTGATGTGCTGTTTGCGCGCGTCTGATGTGCTGTTCACGTGCTGTTTGTCGGCCAGGCCACGGAGGAGGATATTCGTGCCACGGCCGAGCAGATGATCAAGGAGGCATTCACAGAGCTGGGCACCACATACACGACCGTGTTCAGGTCAGTGGCGGAGCGGCCGCCGACTAGGCTCTCGGCACGGCCCGGTCTCCGCAGCCCCCTCCCCTCCTCCTCCCCTCTCCCCTCCTCCTGGCGATGTGCTTTCTGCAAGTCGTCTGGTTTGATGGCATGTTGTGTTCAATATACACGGTTTGCGCGTCTACCTCTATTGTTTAAGTGTCGTTTAAGTTAAGTTTAAGTTAAAGTGTGTTTAAGATGTATTCGCATGCATACTTATGCACGTAACAACATAGGTTGTGTGTGTGTGGGGGGGGGGGGGTCATATAATCGGCGCACTTCTCGAACACGCCCCCCGCTCACATCTCCACACCAGCAAAGTCCCGTACGATGCGCTGGCGGCCGCCGCGACAGCAGCGCCCCTGCCGGCAGGTCGCGGAACCAGTCGCAGCTGACGCAGACCGAGGCGCAGACGGCGGTGAACGGCCTGATCGAGGCCGTGTGCCCGACGGCGCGCCTCGACCACAAGACGCCGCAGCTCACCGTCGTCATGGAGGCCATCCGTAACGTGCTCTGTCTGGCCGTGCTGCCCGACTACTTCGCGCTGCGCAAATACAACCTGGTGGAGCTGGCGCGGCCGGCGGACGGCGCGGCGGAGGCGCGGGCCGTGCGCGGAGGCGGCAGGAGTCGGCGGCGGCGCGGGCGGGTCGGCAGCGCCGGCCGCCGAGAGTGGCGAGAGTGGCTCTCCGCCGGCTGCGGCGGAGAGCGCTGCGCCAGAGCCGATGGTTGCGGCGGAGAGCGTGGCGCCAGAGCCGATGGTTGCGGCGGAGAGCGCCGCGCCAGAGCCGATGGTTGCGGCGGAGAGCGCGACGCCAGAGCTCCCAGCTGCGGCGGATAGCGCGGCGCCAGAGCCACTGGCGGCTGCTGGCGGCTCAGTGGCACCACCTGTAGCCGCAGACAGCGACCCGGCGCCAGCGGAGGACGCCGCTGCGGGGGCGCCACCCGCCGAATCGCCGGGAGACGCGCCGCCCTAGGCGGCCGGCCGTGCGGCGACAGGCGGTGCTGGGTCCGCCGGTCAGGCGGCCGGCGGCGGTGCGTGGCGGCGCCTTGACTGAAGTGGCCGCGGCGGGTATGAACGTGGTGACTTGCGTCCAAAGGCCGGGCGCGACCGGCAGTCGTCCCCATGCGGTGGGCATGTTTTAGCGCGGAAGCGTCGCGCGGTGGTCGTTTTTAAGCGTTTGAGAGGGGACGGACAGTTCGTGTCACAGCTGTGTTCAGGGCTGATTTCTGGAGGATAATACATTGTCTTGGTCTAGCTCTAGTCTAGGCTGGTGCAGCGCTCCTACGGCTTGGAGAGATCATGACGGAAGAAGAAAAGATATTTGCATAAGTAATAACTGACAACTGTGCAACACTGGCCGGTTCCACGACCGGTCGGTGTAAAATAAACGCCAGGAAATATCCACTTAAAGTAAGAGCATGGCTGCCTGAAGCCGACTTACAATATAATGATAGCGTCAACAACAGCGCCGTGATTTTGTTGCTCTAGGCGTGTGGTACGTACGCGAATATGGTCTGAAGTGTAAAGTAAGGCACGCCATCCAAAACGGTATCGCCTTAATGGACTCGTTTATGGAAAGATGGCCGATCAGTCGTAAGTAGAGTAGTCGCTGGTAGTCTCAAGTAGCCGAGTTGTGGAAAGATAGCAGGGTAGAGTAGAGACTTGTGATGAGACGACGCGTCACCAAATGTGTAGGTATAGATTACGTATGCTGTTACGGTACGTCACATTCTTTAATTGCTACCGTCATTAATTTAAGAGGTCATACACCTGTCATGTGGTAACGTTGGTGACGCCAGCGGCCACCGTCAAAGTAACTCAGAGTCGATGTCCGAAATCTGCGATGTAATGCACGCACAACATGGACCGCTTGGGTCTGGTATGAAACTGAAGCCTCACTCCGCTCTAAAACATTTGTCTGAATCTGCACCGCTCGGAGCTGGCGCTCTGCTCCCGACCCTGAAACATTTGTCCGAATCTGCACCGCTTGGAGCTGACGCCGCTCTGCTCCCCGACCCTGAAACACTTGTCTGAATCAGCACCGCTCGGAGCTGAGGCCGCTCTGCTCCCCGACCCTGAAGCACTTGTCTCAATCTGTACCACTCGGGCGCTAATGCCGTTCTTCTTCCCGCCCTGAAGTATGTGTCTGAATCTGTACTGCTCGGAGGCGATGCCGCTCTGCTTCCCGCTCTGAAACACTTCCCTGAATCTTGACCGTTCGGAGCCGGCGCCTTTCTGCTCCCCGGCCGCGCACGCGACGGACCGGGCCAGCTCTGCGGCTCCAACCCGACCCCAGTGTGTGCGTGGAGAGGTGGCGGTCGGTCGCTGGCGGCTGCCGGACGCCCACGCGGCCCCGCGGTCGAGCCGCCCCGCGGAACCAAATGAACAACAGGATCCGGAGGCACGCCCGGAGCTTTATTCGACCGACGGGGACGGGACGCTGGGCGGGGCGTCGCAGTTGGTCGGAGCTGCGTCGATCGATCACATCTAGGCACAGGTGGCGGGATTGCCGGCAGCTGAGCCAGACACATCACGAGCGCGCGGTCGAGCGACGGAGGCGAGGCCAGCAGCGGACTTCACCACCAAGCCTGATCAGGAGAGCGGACGTTATAACAGCGGACTGCTTCGCGGACTGCCTCACGAACTGCCTCGCGGACTGCCTCGTGCAGCATGGACAGGCGGGCGTGGCGGCATGGTAGCGGGGGACACGGAACGCGTGCAACTTCCCGACAGCAGGCGTCAGAGCGGAGTGGGCGTCTCCCCGTGCGGCGGTGCACACGCTCTGGGAGGCGCGCTCTCTCGCTACGAAGCGATGGGAGACAGGGGGCAATTCCAGCTAAGCGCGCCGGAACTGTTGACGCTGTCGAACGCTCACCCCTGGGGGCCTCTGAGACCCGGGCCGGCGCTACACAGCAGAGCACAGCACGCCGGCGCTACACAGCCGCCAGCTCATGCCCCTTCCGCGCTGGGGGGGGGGGGGGGGGGGGCGTACAGTATCGCGTATTTGTATGTAACGCGTATCTTCGGTACAGTGTCGCGTAAACCTGGCGTCCCCTAGGCGGTCGCTGTTACGCTCACAAGGTCACGCGAGAAGAACTGAAAGATCTGTACAATGTGCTGTTGTGATAACTAGATAACAAGAACCCACCCGATTCATCTAGATGAGATTGTGATGTGACGGTAAATAGACGAATGCGGTTTATATCACAGTATAGTCAGCCACCTGCCAGTGAGCGAACGTCTATCGCCTCCACTGGTACTCCACACCAGTATTCACAGCACCTCCCGCTCCTCCGAGGGAAGCGCGTGTGTGTTCTTCACGACAGCACCACACCAAAATCCCAGTGACGTCACCAGATCGCGGCCGGCCCGGAGGAGACCACGAGGGTCTGGTCACGCTACGAGTCGCCGCCTGGCCGGTCCACCACGAGAGCTCCGACCGGCGCGGTCCTGACGGCACCGACGGAGCCGACGACCCCGTTCGCCTCCTGGCGGCCCTCTGACCGAGGTCACCAAATGCGCCCCTCGCCGCCTCCTTGGCCAACGACGAGCAGGTCGGGCCAGCTCTTCCATCGCCACCAGTGCGACCCATCACATCACTTCAAATTCCCGCCGCCAGATGGTCCACCGACTCGGCTGGACGGCTATCAAGTTCAGCCTGTTCAGTCCGGCCGCTCGACAACCCCTCGGCTTAGTTCTGTCCTCGGCCGCCAGGCGGCCAGCGGGGTCAGCTCCGTTTCTTGGCGGAGGCCATCCACCGGTTACTGAGCGTCGACGCCGGGTTCTGGAGCGGCGCCAGGCGGAGCCGGCCGTCAGGGCTCTCCTGCGCCACCGCCGCGGCCTCGCCTCCCGCCGGCGGTGGCGCGGCCTCTCCAGCCAGCGGCGGCGCGGCCTCCCCCGCCGGCGCCGTCACCTGCATGATCTCGTGGAACACGCGCGCGCGCTCGGCCGGGTCGCGGATGCTGCTCTCGCCACCCAGACTGTCATCGTCGCCGTCGCCAGCGGGGAGACGCACGCGGAGGCGCCGGCGCGCGGCCGGCGGCGGTGCCCGCCACAGCGCCTCCTCGCTGGGCACGGCTAGCTATCCGCGGCCGCTGGCCGGCGAGAGCAGCATCTCAATGGCCTCCTGCGTCATCGAGGTGTCGAGCACGTCCGGCGTGGGCGCCAGCACGTTCACCTGGGGCCGGTCCTCGGGTCGGAGGCGACCTTCTACCTGGAACAGGGGGCGCGCACTGACTCAAGGAGCCCTTCGACGCGGCCGACGCCGCAGCGAGCCCGGTGGGACGTCGAGGCGCGGACGTGTGGTGCGGATGTGGTCACGCGACGGCGACTGGTGACGAGCTAGGCGCTGGGTCTGTCAACCCCGCCTCTCCGCGGTAAAACATGCTATAAAGCGCGGAGCTCTGACGCACAACCAGCTGGCAGCAAATGTACTGCACCGCTAGAGTACAGCACATACAGTACAGTACAGCACAACGAGGACCAGCGCCTAAATGTTTTTTTTAAAAAAAGCGTATCAAACATCTCTGCCACCGGAAATCTTTTGTGCTCTGCCACTTGCTGGTCGAAACGTGCCGGCGGTCATCCCAGCGCGGCACACGTACGTCAAACGATGGCTTGTACGATTCGTCGTCTTCGCCGCCTTGTGCCTGAGAGCGAACCACGATGGGCGAACGGTAGGCGGGGGACTTGCTGTGGGCGGGGGACTTGCTGCTGATGGGCGTTCCCGGGTCGTCGCCGTGGAAGTGGCCGAAGCCGTAGTTGATGAGCCCCTCGTCGATGTAGTGTCCGTCCTCCTCGTCTGGAGCGGGGTCGGGGGTCAGGCTGGGCTCAGGCGGGGTCAGTTAGGGTCAGGATGGAGCCGGACGGGGTCAGGCAGGATCAGACTGGGTCAGGCGGGGTCAGGCGGGGTCAGGCTGGGGTCAGGCAGTCAGGCTGTGGTCAGGTGGGATCAGTAGAGGTGAAAATGGGGTCGGACGGGGTCAGGTGGGATCAGGCTGCGGTCAGGCAGGAACAGCTTGGGGTCAGGTGGGATCAGGCGAGGTCAGGGTAGTGCAGGAGGGGGTCATCAGCGTGTCACCTGTCGAAATGTGGGTCGCCGGCGCGGTTCAGGGCTGGGACGACGCCAGGGGTGCTGACAGTAAAAACCGACACAAATAAGCTGAATGCCAGGCTGCCATGAGAGTTTAGCTGGCTCCTATGAAATAACTGAAGGCTCGGTGTAACCCTCGACAGGGTGGGTGTGGTATGACAACGCGCGTTTTGGAACAAGTAAAACCAATAGCAGCAGCACTTCCAAGGAGAATATCTTTATGGATTTCTGAAGCCAAGGAAAACAGGACGTGGTTAGGGATGAGTTAAGTAGATATGTAGCTAACATCACGCTGTTTTTTGTTTCTTGAAAAAGCAAGCAATTCGTGTAACCGATCAACTGTACCAGGGCTCCATGGACAAAGTGATCCCCCCAGGTCGGTCGGGGACCCCTAAATGCCCAACAGACCCAGGCCGTTTGTATTTTTCATGACAAACATGATCCCCAAGTGGCCAAAGCTTCTCAAATCAATGTTTTTGTGACTGCCAGCCCGTTCCGAGATCACCATGACGCTGACGCGAATCGAACTCCTCGTTACGTTAGCAGTTTGCATAAACCTGCGTTCGCTATAACGCGCCCTGAGGCGACAAAACCCCGCTGGCTTTGCGCCGACCTGAGCCCAGCGACCTGAACCCAGCGACCTGACCGCAGCGACCTGACCCCAGCGACCTGACCCCAGCGACCCGAGCCCAGTGACCTGAGCCGGCGCTACTGACCTGAGCTGAGGTCCTCGGTGAGTTTGATGACCTTCTGCCGCCGCACGCACACCTCGACGCTGAGCAGGAGCACGACGATACCGCAGCCGGCGAACACGGGCCCGATGAGGATGAACGGGTCCTCCTCTGCGGACGGGCGCGCCGGGCGGTCACGTCGCGCGCGGACAGCCGTCGATGACGCGGCAAATACGGTCACGTCGGCTGCCGACGCCGACCGACGGAGGTGAAGGGTTTCCGGGGACTGGCGGCAGCTCCAGCCCGGCCGCGGGATGGTGGCAAGGTTTGGCGGACGCCGACGGCAGCTGTTGAGGCGTTTGATGCGGGCCAGGACTTCGTTATGGGTGAGGTCCAGACAGCGCGCTGCCGCACGTCTCTTTGGCGCTGGTGATATTGACTCGGCGCGGGTGTATGGTCCCGCGGTATCGAAATTTGACTTGTTCGTTCACGCTTGCCACACAATGGTTGTATAAAGTTATTTCGTCGCTCGGTGGATCCGTTTCTTTCCAGTCGGACCGTCACATTTACGAATGGTCGTCACGGCCGACTTAGGCTTTGTACCAGGACGCTGGTGAGCCAGTCAATATTGAGTCCTCTGTGACGTCATATTCCAGGCCGTTACGAGCCCACTGCTGGATAACGGCCAGCACGGACATCATTACCTGGGCCATGTGGCCTGTCCAGGAATTCGAAGCCCCAAACACTGGGTCGATCGTCGCCGTGGGAAGCGTCACTGCTGTGCGAGTAGGCCCCCCTGGTGGGTCATTTAGACGATGCGGAACTGACTCGGCCCGCCCACCAACTACGACACTGACTCGGGCCTCCGCAGACCGACTGAGAGCCTGACTCGGGCCTCCGCAGACCGACTGAGACCCTGACTCGGGCCTCCGCGGACCAACTGAGAGCCCTGACTCGGGCCTCCGCAGCCCGACTGAGACCCTGACTCGGGCCTCCGCAGACCGACTGAGATCCTGACTCGGGCCTCTGCAGACCAACTGAGAGCCTGACTCGGGCCTCCGCAGACCGACTGAGAGCCTGACTGACCCAGACCTTGGCGGGCAGACCCTGACCGTCGCGGCGAACAGAACTGGCTGTCGCGGCGAACAGAACTGAACAGAACTGAACTAGCCCCCAGCGGCCTGCTTCGAACTGTCGACCCCGAGACCTGCGAGTACCTGCGAGCTGCGAGCGAGTACCTGCGAGAGAGCGAGCACCTGCGAGCTGCGAGCGAGTACCTGCGAGCTGCGAGCGAGTACCTGCGAGCTGCGAGCGAGTACGTGCGAGCGAGCGAGTACTGCCCGACCTCCACGCGGGTCAGACAGGTCACCGAGCGAAGCGTGTACTTACTGCCGAGGACGAACCAGGCGGCCAGGAACATGCCGAGTCCCGCGGCCAGAATGAGCAGACCCGAGGTGACGACGCAGCCGATGATCTGGCAGTCGGCCACCTTGCGGCGCCGCAGCGCCATCTCGCGCCAGTTGACCTGCGGAACGAGCGGCGCGCCGGCGCGGGTCACTGGAGGCGTCGGGGGGTCGGGACGCGTCGGTCCGGCCGGGCACGCCGACATGAGAAGGTCAGACGACTGAGGGGTCCAGGGGGAGGGGTCCTGTGATGTGGAGATTGCCTGTGGGGATGCCACTGACTGTCTGGGAAGAGTCCACTGACTTAGAGGGTTAGTCTGCCGGGGCACTGGCAAAGGTCTCCGTCTGAGAGAAGGGGTTTCTGAGGGGTGAGCGTCTGCCTGGAGAAGTCCGCTAACTGAAGACATCCGTCTGGGGGAGCCCGCTAGCTTAGGACGTCCGTCTGGAGGAGCCCAAGAACCAAAGACGTCCGCCTGGAGGAGTCCCGCTATCTGAGTACGTCCGTTTGGAGCGGGCCCGCCGACATCCAGGGTTGCACGATATCCGGTACGGTTGCAGTACCGGCCCGGGAGGGTGCCACTGACCTGCGTCAGTCCCGCTTGAGCGGCGGCGGTTTGAGCGGGCCGCCCTGGTGGTTGGGGGTGAGGATGGCGCCCTCCACCTGGGTGGTGTTGCCCTCACTCCTCTTGTTCCGGTAGTACTGGAGCATGCCGTACATGGTGGCCGCTGCCGACATCGTGGTCCTGGTTACCCGCCGCGCAGGGGCGGAGTCAGCGTCGGCCGCGGGGAGGCGGCGCGGCGCACGGGCGACTCCAGGCGAGGGTGAGGGACGGCTCACCCCCACCCGCACCCCACCCCAAAACGTGACGTAGTCGATGAGGGGGTCGCAGCCAGCCATTAAAACCGACAGCACTTCCGTCCTGCAAACGGGCAGGCTGCGACGACGGGCCGGCGTCGTCGCCCTCGACGGCTGCGGCCGTTGTTAGGGCCCACATCGACCGGACGGGCTGTTGACGGGGCGACCGAGGAGCGGGCCCGGCCAACTCCGCCGGCTCGGCGGGCCCGGGTCCGGGTCGTGAGCCTGTGACCCCGGCGGTGGCGCTGTCGCCTGCGGCGCAACGAGGAGGTCGGCTGCAGGAACGGCCGCGAACGGGCCGGCCGTGGCGGAGGAGGGCCATTTGGGGACCTGCTAGTGGGGGTGCCCTGCGATGTCTCATACATTAATTTGATATTTCTGTTGAAATGTTAAGAAAGTTAAGAATGCTATTGCGTGGATTCGCAGCAATATCAGAACGTTTGGAAAGATGGCGGGTCAGGCTGGCTTATAAGCTTGCTTTCATTTTTGCAATGCTGCCACAGGTGATACACAGCGATTTAAGACAGAAACAGTGAGGAAAAAAATATTGGGTTTAATATTAATGCTAAATTTTCCAAGTTCGCCGACCCCAATCCGCTAATCCACTGATTTGGTATTTGAAACAGAAAGACACAAGCTGGGTAGAACACACATCACGTATTGTCGAGCTTACGACCAGGGTTAATGTCCACACGGCAGTTAAACACATCAAATCAGTGGCGTTTGAGCAAGATATCACAGGTAGGTAGAGCATAGTTGGGTTTTCAGGTTCGACAGAATATCTAAGGTTTGTAGGATTTAGTCACAACAGAGGCGCCAGGAGCGAAACAGATGATATACAGTTCTCGTATGATAGGATTTTGTGTACATGGGACAGTGGGACAGTTCTATATGGGACACTGTACTCCCTTGTATTATAAATAAAGGGAGTACATTGCCATATATCACACCTCGGATGTGGTTGGAAGTACCCATTTACAAACACTTGCCATAGGTTTCATAGAGCGCATCTTCGGGGCTAAAATGAAAACCGTAGTCAAATTGTAGAAGCTCTGGAACAAATGTTACCGCTTAAATGCACGGATACTTGACGTAAAACGTACCAGTGCATCCGGGTTACTGTCGCACCAATGACCATACATATAAATGTCATTAATCATACGAGCATACGCTTGAACTGATCTTGCCAGGATGCTCAAGCCCCTCCACGTTGTCACAGATGTCACAGCTGGCATATCTCATTCGTGCGGCTGTCAGAAGCAGGGTTTTTGCACGGGCTGAACACTTGTAATAAATGTAACAATAGGCGTTTTCCTAAACATGAACAGGCACTGTGACAACATTTTGCAAATCCGATGTTCTTTTGGACCATTATACAACTCCGATGTTGTGTTCGGTGGTGCTGGCAACGGTGTTCCTGATAACAGCATCAGCTGTAATTCTCATCCTGACTTTGGGAAAGGCCGCGCTTTAATTGTCTTCGATTGATTTGAGATTGGAGATTGAGATTGATGATTGAGATTGATTGGAGGTCTGCATCAAACAGGTGCACTGAAAACCAAACATAGATATGACACTAGTACTAACTTATTCCTCCGAGAAAAACCAGGACCTACGAATATAAATGAGTCGATATTCGGCAACATGCCTTATCGAAGCGAATATCATAAGTGCTAGTCGTGAAAGTGCATTCCTTCTATTCGTTTTCGATAAAGGCATGTTGCGCGAAGTATCAACGCATTCAAATGTCATTTTCCTCAGTTTTTTTTTTCTGCCATGAATAAGGTTATTACCACTGTCTTACCTATGTGCATAATGTTCATCGCGAATGCACTTAACAGCTCACGTAATTGAAACCAAACGAATAATACTTCGATTGGCCCCGCTGATTCTATCCTGGGAGGGCCAGTGACTGAGCTCGATCTCATGCGAATCACCTTCTGACAACTGGTGACGTTTAACACGCACTCGGGTGGGGTCAAATTGACCCCCCCCCCGAAGGTTTTTCCAGAATGGTTTCCGAACGGCGCGGCGTAGCCGCGCCAAATTTTGCACAGCTATAGGCAAATTGAATAGCGGATCGTTTGACATTTAGATGCACCTTCTAAGGTTGCTGACCTATGGCAGGTCAAAGTCAGGCCATGGTTTCAGCGAAGACAATTTCTAGGGAACCGTCCAATCTGATCCAACAACGGAGTGTTAGACAATTCCATACATTTTGAGATGCTTTCCTAGATAATAAAACAGTTGAATGAGCAAATTGCAGTAACCTAAGGTCAGGTATAAAGGTCACACCAAGGTCAAACCAACCTGTTTTGTTACCCTAGGACTTGCTGTATGGGACAGTTTCTGGTGCTCATTTCGAATTATTGTAGCAGGAACCGCATCATACATCTTCCATGGACTTCTTATAGGTCAGAAGAGGTCATTGACATAAAATGACCCAAGTCAGCATTTTGTTTTATGAACATACTGCCTAGCGTATCTTTGTCGCCTAGTCAAATGTAAAATTCAAAACAGTCTTATATGATTTTGGTCGCCTTGGCTTTAAAAATGTCAAAAAAAGGTCACAGACGTTGAATGAGCATTTCACCTTTTGCTTAGAAACGGTTATCTAGATTCTGAGGGCACTTTGGAGGCCAACCTGCAACTTGACCTTGGTGGACCTTTTTAACCCAAGGGTCATGACCTAGGAACCTGAAACTTTGACCTAAGTGAGT